AGATGAGGGACTGCTCATTGTCCTCAAATTCAAACTGCCAAAGCACAGTCAAGATCCTGCTGTGATCAAGAGCCCAGACTTCCAGACGCAGGAGACAGCCTGGTAACAAGACTTCTGGCTCAGGACTGGGTGAGCAGAAGCTTACAGGAGAGCCGGTGGAGGCAGATGGGGTGCTCAAAGGATCACGCACATAGCTGGTTCTTCTTTAAGGAGAGCCATACAGCATATGATGAAGGGCAGGAAATAGACGCTTTGCTCAAACTCCAGAAGGCAAATAGGAACCAGACTTCAGAAACGTCTAGTCCCACCTCCAACGTTACACATTGAAAAGATCATTATGCACTATCTTGAAAAGGACTAACCTGTCTCTTAGGAGCATGTGAGTCAATATGGTGCTCAGATAATGGGAAGAGTGGTTAACATTACAGACTCTGGGGTCAGGTAATTAAAATCCCTGTTCTCCCATTTAGTAGCTGTAAGTAACTTCTTTGTGCCTCCTCTCTTCTAAAAAATTGGGTCATTAATCATAGCTTCCCTAAAGGGCTGTGTGTAGACTAAACGGGATAAGATCTCCAAAGTATGCCTGGCACATAATATGTGCTTGATAAATGGTGGCGATGGTGATCCTTTGAGAAACAGGAAGCATTTCACAATTTAATTCTATACCACAAGCATGCTACTTGAAAATTTCGTGAAGACTCGTAGAAATAAATACCTGTTGCACATATTCTTGACTGTCATGTTTCTAGCCTCAGGATTTTGATTTATTTTGTACTGTGGTGTCAATTACAGAGAAAAACCACATTCTAGAAACGAGAGATGGGGACCCTGAATGGGGCCTCATTTGTGAACTGTGCTGGGACATCCTGGTGTGTGCCATACAGTCCTGTAATTGATCAGTGTCCTTTGAATCTTTCCCATTTTTTTCTTCCTTGTTGATTTGCTGTGACCATCTGAAAGAAAGATGGTGGAGAACATCTCTTCGTCCTTGCTGACAGTGAAAATCTGTTATTTCAAAGGGGAAGCTCATGCTTTATATCCTCTTATTCTCCTAAGGGCCTCTTCAAAGCACACCACAGTTATTTGGTAGGTTAAAATTCCAATGAAAAGGTTTTAAGTTATCATGTTCATTAACTGCTAATTTGGGGATAGCATCATGCAACAGGGCACTAAGTTCCTGTTGCGGACCCAGGACACTGGGGTCTTGAATGCCCAGCTTCACACAATGGCCTGTGATATTGATACTTATTATAAGGAGTAGCGAGAATAAAAGGCTGGTGGTTTATAACGAGAATAAAAGGCTGGTTCTTATCAATGAACTCACTGTTATCAATGAACTCACTGTTCCACAGTGAAACTGAAGATGGAAATCAATTCACATCTTACCAATACCCTCATATGACGGAAGTTTTTTCCCCCCTCATCCAAGTGCAGTTCAGTGAGGAAGTTGACACAGATCCCAATACCACTGGCAGTGCTACCAAAACAGAGGTCAAGGGTCATAGTGGCCACTGTATGAAAGTTAAACAAGAAGTGAATAAGATCTGATGTTTGGGTAGCACTTTTGCATCCATAAAATGCTCAGGAGAGCAGGACAGGTTTATCACCGATGGGAAACCTGAGGCTCGTCCGTGGTGAGATCCGGGCTGGAAGCCAGTCTTCAGGCCCCCGGCTAAGTGTGTCGTCTCCTAGACATACTGCCTCTGTTCATTTCCCTCCGAATTCTTCTGGTTTCAAAATGACTAGTTAGCTCTGTCTCAACGCTCTCACACCTCCTGCTCTTTTAGCGGCTGCCCTATTTGTGTCATTCGTTTACTTAAATCATTTATTATAGAGTTTCTGCATTTTTATAGTCTTTTAAAAGAGATAATGTATTGTACAACTCTCAAAAGGCAGAAGATTATTCAGTAAAGTCTCCTTTCCCCTCCACATCCCGGCCATCCAGATCTCTTTCCAGCAACCAGTGTTACCAGTTTCTTATGTATCTGTCTGGAGAAATTCTATGGGTACACAAACAATTACATTCAACCATTTTCTATGATCACAATGGTAAAATATTATATGTATGATTCCTCGGAACCTTGCTTTTTTCATTTACTATATCTTGTTGGTCACTCCATATCAAAGAGATGTAAAAAAGATTTCTAATTATATATTTTACAGTGAAAAATACTCTATGACTGTTTCATAATGTATTTAACCAGTCTCCTCTTGGTGGACATTTGGGATATTTAAATTTTTTCCTACTAAGAACAGCTTTGCAATGAATAATTTTTTTCACACAGTTAACATCATTTTGCGCATGTGCAGATGTATCTGTAGGATAAATCCCTAGATGTGGAATCGAACAACTGTGTCAACAGCGGTGTGTCTGTAATCTCCACAGAAGGCAGAGACTATGTTTTATCTTCATCTATCCTTAGTGTCTAGCACAGGTCTTGATACTTCATAGATGTTCAATAGGTATGTGGACAAATTAATGAATGAGTGAATTCAGAGAACGAGTTCAGAGAGTGGTCAACAAATCTTTGTGGAACAAATCAATGAATGAGTTCAGAGAATGAATGAGTTCAGAGAATGAATGAGTTCAGAGAATGAATGAGTTCAGCTGGGATGATCACGAAGGGGCTGGTGACTTTTGGCACCATCTCTTGTATTTCATATATTATTCTGAAAATGACATCAAAATTTAACGTTCTTCATACTTATAACTTTCTTCTGCAGGTTTTTATTTTTTATTTATTTTTAGGTTTTTAGAGACAGGGTCTGACCATATTGCCCAATCTGGTCTTGAACTTCTGAGCTCAAGCAATCCTCCCGCCTTGGCCTCCCAAAGTGCCAAGATGACAGGTGTGAGCCACCATGCCTGGCCCTTGTGCAGCTTTTGACTTTTCTCAGAATTTGTATTTGTGTATTTTTTAACTTACAAAAATTAAAACATATTTTAATAGACAGGGATCTGTGTCACCCAGGTTGGAGTGCAGTGGTGTGATCAGAGCTCACTGCAGTCTCAAACTCCTGAGCTCAAACCATCCCTCCCAGACATCCCAAGTGACGGCACTTCAGGCATGCAGCATGGAGCCTGACATTGTTTATCTACTTTTTATTGATCAGAAGAGACATAATTTCAACTCACCATGTGGTAATACTTCTGGGTTATGAATCATAGTTTGTAAAACTCCTCTTAAAGATGTTCTTCAAAACTTCTTTGGACTTTTAGTTGTAATTTGGACTGGTTGCTTTTTAGTTCTACAGCTATTACACTGAGCTTTGTTTTCATCACACAGCTGGGTCGATTCCACTATGTCTTATATCCAAATATCCAATGCCGCCTTCTTTCTGGATTTTTCACTTTTGCTCTATTTTTTTTTTCCATAAAGAATGTACGCTCACCGTTTTGAGTACTAGCATGTCCAAAGAAGTCCTCATTTTGCTCTCATACATGAAATGCTCTGACTGGTTGTAGAATCCCAGATTGGAAATAATTTTCTATAGAATTTTGAAGGCATTATTCTAGCATCATTTCTAGCAACCATCATTTCTAGCAACCTGTGTTAGAGATGAAACACTTGATACCTATTCTTTTTCTCCTTATTCTTTGAATTAAGAAATTCCACCAGAATAGGTATAAATATAAAGTTGGCCCTTCATATCTGTGGATTCTACATACTTGGATGCAATCACACGCAAATCAAAAATATTCAGGAAAAAAATTCCACAAAGTTCCAAAAAGCAAAACTTGAATTTGTTGCACTCTGAGTACTGTGTTGAATCCATGCGAATGAAGTGATGAGTAGGCATTGTCAGGTATTGTATTAAGTATTGTATTAGACATTGTATTAGGTATTGTATTAGGTACTGTATTAGGTATTAGGCATTGTATTAGGTATTACATTAGGTATTAGATGTTGCATAATGTATTGTATTAGACATTGTATGAGGCATTATATTAGGTATTAGGCATTGTATTAGGTATTCTATTATGTATTGCATTAGGCAGTGTATTAGGCATTGTATTAGAAATTGTATTTGGTATTATAGCAATCTAGAGATGATGTAAAGTATGCCTATCTAGGGATGTGCATAGGTTATATACAAATACTACAGCATTTTATGTAAGAGACTGGGAATCTGCAGATTTCGGTATCTGAGGAGGATCCTGGAGCTAATCACTCTCTGGATTATATGTATAATCCACTCTATGGATCCACTCTATGGATTATATGTATAATCCATAGGGAGGACTATATGTAAGGAGTGGGTGTGTGTGTGTTAATTTCAGGTGGGTCGTTAATCTAAAGACTTGAGTCTTCAGCTCAAGTTATTTCTCTCTCACCTTCATAATTGTTTTGTCATTTTTTTTTTCTTTCCTTCTGGAAGTCCTACTTGACAAATATTAAATCTTCTGGACCTATCCCCTCTGATTTAATTTTTCTCCCATATTTTCCATCTCCTAGTGGATGCAGTGACTTCTGGAGGGTTTGTCTAAAGGCGTCCTACTCACACCTGCCCTCACAGAGCGCCCTATCGGGCGTGCCACGCAGACATAAGCCAGTGGTGGTCACAGACCTACACAAACGCTGGAGGAAACTCATTGGAGCTTCCATAATCCATCAACTTGCTTTCCTGATTTTTAACCCTCAATTTCACCTGCGACTGCGAGGGCCTGGAGGCATCACCCAGCCCAACCCCACTGTACACCCGGGGAGTCCGAGACCCGGGGTGCAGCGCGACCCGAGATGATTCGGCCTGCGGGAGGCCCCGGACTGGACGCAGGTCTCCTGACTCCCAGCTCGGGGCGTTGGCTGCTGTCTTCTGCTTGGTGACCCGCGTCTTCGCGGTAGGTTGAGGTGGCCGGAGCATCTGGCCTTACCCTTCTCACACGCCACACCCCCGGGTCTCTGGCTCTGGAGTTCGCAGAATTTGCGCCTGCGCCAAGCCACTGCAAGGCTGCTTAGGGGCGGAACCCGCCCGCTTTGCCCTGGCAACGCGTCACTTGTTGTCATGGAGACCGCGATGTTTACCTCTTTGTTCTGCAAGAGAGCTGGAAGCTCCATTTGGGGTAAGGAGGCTCCCATCCTGTGCTTGTGAAGTGGGTTCTGTCTGGCGGCGCTGAGGTAAGTAAACCTTGACCCTACCCCACGGACCCCCACCCGCAACCCTCCCCGCCTAACCAAATCCTTATGCCGTGGGGATGAGCCCTAATTTAGGTCCCCACCTCTCTGGGGGCTACTCAGACTTATCCAGGAGTCTTGGGTTAAATGCTGGGCTCCACACTCAGATACATTTGGTAGAAGTCATAAAAGGGACTGGACTAGGAAGAAATGGAGAAACTCCATGTTGCCTGAGGGGGCTGGGTGGGCCGAGGTTCTCAGCCTGGTCAAGATCTGACTCTAGTTTCATCCTTACATATGTGAAGGCTTCAGAGATCCAGAGGCCCCTAAGAGCAGCAGCTCAGACTTTGAGGTAGAGTTGGAATTGGGGGCAGATTTCAGCCCTGTCTGAGGAAGGCAGTTCTCACGGTCCATCAGAGTTGTATGGAGATGAAGTGGGTAATTTCAGTGTTTCCATTGCCGACAGCTTCTGCCAGCTGGCTTCCCCTGTGTTGTTCCCCTTCCTGTCCTCTCCTTTCCTTTGTCCTGGAAGTTTTTAGATTCTTTTACGTGTTGAACAGGTTCTCCGATACCCAGTTGTCAGTTTACACGTCACATTTCTTCTTCTTCCTCCTCTTCCTCTTCTTCTTCTTCCTCTTCCTCCTCTTCCTCCTCCTCCTCCTTCTCTTTCTCCTCCTTCTCCTTCTCCTCTTTCTCCTCCTACTCTTCCTCCTCCTCCTCTTCCTCCTCCTCCTTCTCCTCTTCCTCCTCCTCCTCTTCCTCTGCCGCCTCCTCCTCTCTCCTCCTCCTCCTCTCTCCTCCTCCTCCTCCTCCTCCTCCTCCTCCTCCTCCTCCTCCTCCTCCTCTTCTTCTTCTTCTTCTTCTTCTTCTTCTTCTTCTTCTTCTTCTTCTTCTTCTTCTTCTTCTTCTTCTTCTTCTTCTTCTTCTCTCTTCTTTTCTTCTTCTCCCTCTTCTTCTCCTAGAAAACATGTCTGGGTTCATCTGTTTGGCAGAACATTACTCCACGACCTCGCAATTCTAATGTTGAGCTAAAGCAGTCAGATACAAAATAATACACACTGTATGATTCCATTTATGTTAAATTCAAAAACAGCAAAACGAATTTGTAGTGTTAAAAGTCAGGATACTGGTTACCCTGAGGGGCTTGAGGTGGAGTAACTGGGAAGAGGTTAGAGATGCTGGTAATGCTTGTTTCTTGGTTTGGGTGCCAGCTACACAGGTGGATTCATTTTGTGTACAGATTATGATTTATTCAACTTTCCATATGTATGTCATGCTTTAATACAAATTGACATAAAAAGGACAAATTGCTTTCATTTAATCTAAAAGAGTCTACTTCTGATCAGGACTTTGGAAACCTCAAATGGCTAAACTATTACAACCTCCGCCCAAGTTCCTGCCCTCAGAGTGGCACATTGCTAACAAGAACCAGTACCACAGAGCAGATGCCCAAAGGTCCCGATCGGAACGCCTGGTCGCAGAAAGCCAGAGGCTTGTGGATGAAATTGGAAAGACTACAAGAAAATCTCAAAGTGATGTGAACAAGAAACTAGGTAAGAAAACATGCTTGGCATATTCACGAACATGCTAAGATGAGGCTGATGAGCTTAGCTATAGTGTCATGTTCAGGTGTGGCAACATATTATTCTTGAGTATTAGAGAAAATCGAGTGTATTCTCCAGATTCTATGTTTAAGTTCACTGCCCTAAGATAGACACAAGGTAACCCAGTCTGATTTTCAGCCACCCATCATTCATTTATTTGTTGATTTGATGCAGTTATTGAGCATCTTTGGGCATATCCATATACTACACATGAGGCATATCACAGGGAATGATCAGAATCTCTGCTTTGTAGGGGCTTTTAGCTTGAAGAGGATAAAGACAAAAAAATTAATCATCAGAATACAGTCAGCCCTTCGTATCCATGGGTTCAGTCAATTGTAGGTCCAAAATACTTAGGAAAAAACCAATAAAAGATAACAATACAACAATTAAAAAATACATATAGAAACAATACAGTTCAACAACTATTTACATAGTGTTTGCATTGTATTAGGTATTATAAGTAAGCCGGACACAATTTAAAGTATACTGGCTGGGTGTGGTAGCAGCTGCTGAGCCGAGATCGTGCCACTGCACTCCAGCCTGGGCGACAAGAGCGAGAAGCCATCTCAAAAGAAAGAAAAGAAAAAAATAGGCACAACTATCTTAAAGAAGAACACAGTTGGAAGACTTCTACCATAGGTACTGAGAGCTGTGACAAAGCTATGGTAACTGAGACAGCAAAGTCTAAGTGGGGATAGACCTGTTGACCAATGAAACATGACAGAGTCCACAAACAAACCCACACACATTCATCTGAGTATGACAAAGCAACACTACAGTGTAATGGGAAAAGGAGAGCCTTTTCTAATTGGCCAATTAGATATTCATATAAAACAATGATATTCTGGCTGGGAGCAGTGGCTTATGCCTGTAATCCCAGCACTTTGGGAGGCCAAGGCAGGAGGATTATGAGGTGAGGAGATCGAGAGCATCCTGGCTAACACAGTGAAACCCCGTCTCTACTAAAAAATACAAAAAACTAGCCAGGTGAGGTGGCGGGCGCCTGTAGTCCCAGCTACTCTGGAGGCTGAGGCAGGAGAATGGTGTAAACCTGGGAGGCGGAGGTTGCAGTGAACCGAGATCGTGCCACTGCACTCCAGCCTGGGCGACAAAGCGAGACTCCATCTCAAAAAAAAAAAGATATTCCAACCCCTACCTCGTATTTTCTATCTATCTATCTATCTATCTATCTGTCTATCTATCTATCTATCTATCTGCAAATCTAAGTGGAGTGCATATCTAAATGGGAAAGGTGAAACAATGACACTTAGGAGAGAATATCTTTATGATCTTTATGACTTGGAGAAGGCAAAGATTTCTTATTCTTAAGCAGGACTGAAAAGAGCCATTCATAGAAAAGAAAAACAGTAAATTGAACTATATTTAAATGAAGAACTTTTGTTTAACAAAAACACCTCATCAAAAGGCTAAACAGCAATCTAAAGAGTAGGAGAAGATATTTGCAATATAAGTATCTGACAAATGCATATCCAGAATATATAAAGAACTTTTAAGAATACAAAAGAAAAAGACAGATAACTCAATAAACAAATGGACAAAACCTTGACAGACGCCTTACAAGTGAGGACATTCAAACAGCCGATGAACATGTGAAGAAGTGCTCTAGTTTTATGAGTCATCAGGGACATACAAATTAAAATCAAGTTGAGATGCCATTATACAGCCATGGAATGGCTACAATTAAAAAGAGGGAAGAGAACAAGAAGAAAGGAGAGGGAAGAGGATGTGGAGCAACTGGTACTGTCATACTCTGCTGGTGGAAATATAAATTGCTATAATCACTTTGGAAAGCTTTGGCAGTATTGACTATAGTTGAAGATACGCCTACTTTTCACCTGGTTATTCTACTTTTAGAGTTTCATCGTACAGGAATATATGTTTACCAAATATATATGCTGCAATGGTCAAAGGAGTGCCATTTGTAATGGCCCCAAACTAAAACTACCCACATGCTCATCAACAGTAGGATGGATAAATATGCTATACTTTACAGCAAAGAGAATGAGTGGCCTACAGCTATACACAACACTACAGATGACTCTTACAAACTTAGTAAGATGCTGAGTGAAATAAATGACACACAGATGAGTACATGCCATATTATTCTATTTATGTAAAGTAAAGCAAACCAAATAAAAGGAAAAAATTAATCTATACTGTTAGAAGTCTATCTTGGTGTGTGGCATGATAGGAACTGGAAGGGGTCATGAGAGACCTCCTAGGATGCCAGTTATATTCTGTTTCTTGAGTTGTGTCTGTGTTATATGTGTGTGTTCACTATGAAAATACATTGAATTTTATGATTTTATGATATGTGTACTCCTCTGTAGGTTTTTGATATTTCAATAAAAAGTTAAAAATAACTTGCAAGTACCTGTGCTGGTGCTGATGATACAGATACACCAGACTGGTGCTTGCCCTTGGGGAGATTGCAGCCTGAAAGTAGAGATGAGTCCAGTACAGGATACCCAGGATACGGTGTGATTCATCCCATAAGTGGCACCAATAAAGCACTGTCAGATTGGAGGAGAGGGCAAATCACTTCCAACTGGTCACATCCAATGACTACTCAATTTCCCAATCTAACGCTTACTTAGTGTTCATCCAGCTTGACTTCTCTACAATACTGGATGCTCAAAACGGGATGCATCCAGTTACTTTTAGAATTCTATGGCACAAATTTTTCCGGATTCATTTCCTTTCTCTCTGGCCATTTCTTCCTCTTCTCTATTGTTGATGCTTCTTTCTCCATTCATTTCCTATTGGTGTTCTTTAGTGTTTTGTTCTTGTCTTCTTAGCTTTTTCTTCTCTTCCCTCCATGCAATCTCTCTTGATGACCTCATTAGAAATTTTATCACTATTTTCTTTGTGTTATTGGTTTGCAAATAGAAATCTTCAACTCTAATTTCTCATGAGAACTTTTTGGGGAAATAAAGAACTACTTGCTATATATTGCCACCTAGATTCCTTCAGGCACCTCAAAATAAGTATATCCCAAGATGAACTCACGACTGTCCTTCAAAACTTGCTTCTGCTTCTGTAGTTCCCTATCCTGGTTAATGGGACCAGAGCTCATTCATTCATTCATTCGTCCTTCAAATAGGTCTGACCCTGTGCTAGATGCTTAGGAGTATAAAATTGAAAAAGACTGATACATTCTACTATGCAAGAGAGACAAAACACAAGTAAAAAGACAAGTAACTAAAATTATTGTAAGTTGCTGGCCTAGATGAAGGCAATGACAGTAAAGATGGAGAGAAAAGGTGCTCGATAATATGTATGTTGGATTTATGAATGAATTTTAACAACAGAAGTCAAGGAGATATCTTGGACAAAATAATAAACGCAGGATGAGTGTGACATTTATGGGGAATGAGTAAAGAGGTCCAAGTTGATGTATAGAGTACGTGAGGAAGAGCAGCATGATGAAGACGAGAGGGGGATGAGGCAGGGCCAAGCCTGAGGAAGACCTTGAATTTGGAAGGTTCAGTTCAGTGGGTACCCTGTTAGAATTTAAAAGGTAATGCTAGAAATCTGGAAGTAATCACATAAAGATGGGTAAGGGGAGCCATAAGGGTAGATTAGATTACCCAAAGAATGTATTGAAAGAGAAGAAAAGGGCACATGAGTTGAAGAGGACCAAGAGAAGAGCTGAGGAACAGAAGTTCAGGTGGAAGAACAAAAAGATGAGACCAAGGTTATGAAAGCCAAAAGATGAGGTTTCACAGGCGAGGAAGTCTTCTATTGTATCAGTGGTTGTCTAAATGTCAAAGAGGCTGAGAGCTGAGCCAAAAAAATTTTGGACTGGTGACTTGAAGATTGGTGACCTTTGAGATAAGAGATGTCCAGTAGGGTAGTGGAGGGTACACACTGGAGGTGAAAATCAGTTACAAGGTGTCAATGGGAAGACGCCAATCTACGTGGTGGATTGAGCACATGCATTTGTCTTCTCTTCCTTTTAGAACTGCAACAAAATAGCAGTAAATAATTAATAACAGTAAAGCTAACAAGTAATAATAAAGCTATGCCCCAAGCATGAGAGAGATTGAGACACACACACACACACACACACACACACAGAGAGAGAGAGAGAGAGAGAGAGAGAGAGAGAGTTAAAGAGGAAGCAACAGTAAACAAATAATGAAATCAAGATTTTAGAAAGCAAAGGTCAACTGGTAACAGACCTAGGGACTGCAGAAAGCCAGGGTGGGTAGAGAACAATAAGAAGCCAGTTGATTCGTGCTACAGAAATCTTGCAGTGCTCAAAACTGGATGCGTCCAGTTACTTCTGAAGCTGAAGGGTCAGGATAGAACCAGAAACCAGATTGGTTGAAAGTCTTTAAAAAGAGCTTCCTCTTCACTCTGGCTCTCCCTCACCCCAGTAGAAGGTTAAAGGTTAAAGGGTTCAATGAATGTCTACTTAGTGATTCATTCATTCCTATGTCTACATAGTAATTCTTCCAGCTGGTTCCTAGGACACTGGTAGCCAGGCTTCTTCCCTCAGGAAGGAGACTGGAGGACTTCTCTGTGGAGAAAGTAGGAAGTAACTGGCCCAAGAGGAAAGATCTATAGATATTAACATTTGAGGATTCTCCAGCAAGATGCCAGGGTCTCACCTGATCACTCTGTACAGTAAAGCATTCTGGTTGACAAGCACTGTCCCTGTAGACAGCATTTCCAGGTAGCACTTTAGCATCTCGGTCTAAATCAGATGATCACCAAATAATTGAGGAAAGCCACTAACATAGCAGACACCAAAACAAATAATCAAAGACACAGAAACTGAGCAGACAGTGCATAGAGAAAAAGAAGAAATATACTATCAAATCCATCAAGAATTTAGAGAAGAGATTGCGTCCTTGGGATGTGCAGAGGAGTCTTTAAAAAAGATAACATTTGGAAAACAAGCGTTCTTAGAAATTAAGAATATAAGAGCAGAAAAATCTTAGAAATCAAAAGAAGTGTTGAGAATCTCCAGAAAGTGGGAAAAAAGGACAACAAAAAAAATAACAGCAAGGAAAAGACAAGAAAATTAGAGGCTCAATCTGGGAGGCTCAATAACTAATAGGAGTTTCAGAAAGAGTATATAGAGAAAATGGAGAAGATATGGTGGCTCACACCTGGAATCCCAGCACTTTGGGAAGCCAAGATGGGAAGATCAATTGAGACCAGGAGTTTCAGATCAGCCTTGGCAACATAGAGAGACCTTTGCCTCCACAAAAATAAGAAAACTAGGTGGGTGTGGTGGTGTGTACCTGTAGTCTCAGCTACCCAGGAGGCTGAGGTGGGAGGATCTCTTGAGCCCAGGAATTCAAAGTTACAGTGAGCTATGATTGCACCACTGACTCCAGCCTGGGTGATGGAGTGAGATCCTGTATCTAAAAAGAAGAAGATAAGGAAGCAGGGTCCTAGGCCTGGCCCAGGAAACCATTTTAGTCTCCTAGGCCTCTGGGTCTGTGATGAGAAGGGCTGCTGTGAAGATCTCTGACATGCCCTGAAGACATTTTGCCCACTGTCTTGGCAATTAGCATTCAGCTTCTTGTTACTTATGCAAATTTCTGCAGTTGGCTTCAATTCCTCCCCTCAAAATGGATTTTTCTTTTCTACCACATGATCAGGCTGCAAATTATTTAAACCTTTATTCTCTGCTTCCCTTTTAAATGTAAGTTCCAATTTCAGATTATCTCTCTCAAATTCAAAGTTCCACAGATCTCTAGGGCAGGGGCAAAATGCTGCCAGTCTCTTTGCTAAAGCATAAGAAGAGTGAACTTTGCTTCAGTTCCCAATAAGTTCCTCATCTCCATCTGAGACTACCTGAGTCGGACTTCATTGTCCATATCACTGTCAAATTTTGATCAAAACCATTCAACAAGTCTCTAGGAAGTTCCAAACTTTCCCACAACTTTCTGTCTTCTTCTGAGCTCTCCACACTGTTCCAACCTCTGCCTGTTACCCAGTTCCAAAGTCACTACCACATTTCCAGGTTATCTTTATAGCAGTGCCTCACTTCCAGTACCAATTCTCTGTATCACTCCATTTTCACAGTGCTATAAAGAAATACCTGAGACTGGGTAATTTATAAAGGAAAGAAGTTTAATTGACCCACAGTGCCACATGGCTAGGGAGACCGCAGGAAACTTACAATCATGGTGGAAGGGGAAGAGAAAACAAGGACCTTCTTCACATGGTGGCAGGAGAGAGAAGAGAAAGTGAAAGGGGAAGAGACTCTTATAAAACTAGCAGATGTCAGGAGAGCTCACTCACTATCAGGAGAACAGCATGGGGGAAACTGCCCCAATGATTCATTTACCTCCCACCAGGTCCCTCCCTCAACAGGTGGGGATTACAGCTCGAGATTAGATTTGGGTGCAGACGCAGAGCCAAACCATATCAAAGGGTATGCTGGCATGTGGCACAATAATTAAATAAGTTTGACACCAGTGTGAAATTTCAGGACACTAGGAAAATGGAAAGATGACTAAAATTTTTCAGAGTGGAATAAACAGGTCACATACAAAGAATCAGGAATCACAATGGCATCAGACTTCTCAACAGAAACTCCGGAAATTAGAAGGAAATAGAGGGACACAGTCACAATTCTAAATAAAAAAGAGTTACGAACTGTAACTCAGGGCACAGCCAAATAGAATGAAATGGTGAGGGTAGAATAAAGACATTTGCAGACTTGCAGGTTTTCAAAAAGTTTACCTCACATACATCCATTTCTTAGGAAGTTACTGAAGGATATGCGTTAGCATACTGAAAGAGTAAATCAAGGAAGAGGAAGAAAACAATCCAGGAAACGGGACAGCAACACAAGAAGAATGAAGGGGATTCCTGGAAGCAAAGTCATAGGATGACAGCTACACAGCAAACTAGAGAGGAACCAATCCAGCAGAAGATTGCAGCAGGAGAAGATGCTCTAGGAGAGACATCTCCAAGGAAGAAAGAAAACTGATAGCTTACTTGATGGGTTGGAATATATTAAAGGCATATTGAGAAAAAATTAATAACATAAAGAAAGTGAAGCAATCACTATGCTACCCATTTTACTATCTCATAACGTCATGTTGTAAACCTCAAATATACACAATAACATTTTTTTAAAACAGAGTCAGTTTATGGAAGTGGAAACTGACACTACAATACAAGTAGTACATTATGACTTTTAAGATTCAAATGCCGAACTATTCATTATCAATTAAATATATATATAACATATAGTTTTCCTAGTATAGTCATTTTTTACTTATAGTGCCTAATAAATCTGCCTTTAATTATCATTTAAAAAAGAAAGTGAAGCAAAAATGCCATTTTCACTCCTCCCCAAAACAGAAAATTTTATAAGAAAAGAAATTTATCACAGTGTATGATAGGGTTCAGATGTAAATAACATTTATATATTTATAAAATGTAAATAAACAATAAGTTTACTTATGTATTGTTTAACAAAATGGTGATACAACTATATTGGGAGATGAAAGTATGTCGTGTGAGTCGGTTAAGAGCAAATCATTATCTTTCATCCTAGGAAATCAACATATAATATCAAAACTGATAATGCGTGAATAGCAGTATAAGCAAATGTCAGAAGAAGTGATAAGCGTGTTTAAAGTGGCTTCCCCCAGAAGGTGGGCGTGGGTGGGGACAGGTCGGAGAGTTTCAACTCTTTGTGATACTATTTGACTTTTCAAACAACACACATTTATATCTTGATAAAATTAAAAGTTATTAAAAACAGTAGGCACCAAAGAACTAGTGAGCGTAAAATGACACATTTGATGTGGACTGTGAGAAAATATATCTTCCTTTCCTTCCTGCAAATAAACATTTATAAAGATGAAAAGATGCCCCAAGTAGCACAGTGCTAAGAGGAAAAGAGCATATCACAGGTAGTTTTACAACAGTCCTCAAGTTGCTAATTCAAATGTTAGCTACCTTGGGATAGATTAACCCTGGTGCAACTTCCCTGTGTGCTTCAGAACAGAGACTCGAGGAAGTCCGGTTCTGGAAGAAGGAGTTAGATGACAAACTTGAGCAGCTTGTGAATGTAACCGATGATCTACTCCTATATAAGATCAGATTGGAAAAAGCCCTGGAGTGCTTGAAGGAGCCCTTGCACATTACTGAGACGTGCCTGGCATACAGGTAGGAGCAAAGGTCCTTCAAATGATTCACATGTTGTGACAAACGAGATGCTGGGTAGTAAATGCTGGCTGTGCGCGATGGTGAGTTAGAAATGGCAATTGAGCAGGTGTTCTTTTAGAGCCTGAAGTTATCCCGGCATGCCCCTGGTGCTGGACAGGGCAAGGGGCAATGAACTTAGTTCATGCCTCAACTCTGCTCTTGAGTAACTCAACTCAAATATATGTTAGGACTAGGTTTGGCTGTAGGTAGCAGAAAACTCTAAAATGACATTGAATTTAAAGAAAACGATTTCTTTCTCTCTTACATTTAAAGAGTCTAGAGATAGTCAGTCCAGGGCTGGAGTGGTGGGCCACAGTTTTAGGGTTCCAGGCTTTGTCTATCTTGTTGTTCTACTGCACATGGCTTTCACTCTTAATGTTACCTCATGGTTTAAGATGGCAGCTGGAGCTCCAGCCATTGTGTCTACATTCCAGCAAGTAGGAATAAGTGGGGTCTGACATTCATCATTTCTATTTGCATCCTATTTACTAGAACTTAATCACATGGCTGCACCAACAGAAGCTGGGAAATGATTGGCTTTACTTTGGGCAGCCAGGTGCTCAGCTAAAAAACCAGGGGTTCTGTTGCCAAGGAAGAAGGTGAGAACAGACAGTACAGCTCCTGGGGGACAGTATGTCACTCCCATGCAGAGCCACACAGAAGCACTTTGTAATCCAGACAGCACTATATGAAGGTGCTTTTAATTAGTGTTTCCCTCCTCTAAATCCAATGAGTAGAATGATCCTTTCTACTCTGGGGTGATGCTGGTTTCCGGACCTGGGTCCTGCCACAGCCCTAGCTGGAGCGCCCTAACAGGTCTTCTTGCTGTTAGCGTAGTCCCCTATAATCTAGTGCACCCTCCACACCGGCTGTTCAGTGAACTTTTCCAAATGCAGATTTTTTCAGGTCACCGCCATGCTTAGAATCCTTCAAACCCCAATGACTTCAAGATAAATTTTAAGCTTCTTAGCTTAGCAAACCAAGGTTCATCACGATAGGGCCCCCAGTGACCTCTCTGGGTCCGTATCTCGTCCCCAGTAGCAGGATGTGCTTAGGTGTGGGGAGCTCCTTGCAGTTTCTCAAATGCACCATGCCGCTGTCTTCCCGGAAAGCCCTATTCCTTCCGTAAGCTTAACCAGGACCCTTTGCAGGAACCAGACAGCAGTCTCCCCAGCCAGATTTAGAAAGTCTATGCAGCAAAGAGAAATAGCAGCTCATCAAAGAGCTCAACACCCAGTTGGCTCAAGTCTAAGCCTAAAGATAATGATAACATAGAGGCTGCTAAGTTTATTGAGCATATACTATGTGCCAGGTACGGTAGCTTATGCTTTTACAGCTCATTCGTACTGTGCCACAATCCTATGAAGTACTAATAATGATCCCTATTTTACAGAAAAGGAAACCAAGGCACAGGTAGGTTACATAGTGGCTAAGGGCACGCAACTAGTGAGTAGGGGAACCTCCTTTCCAAGCACTATCATGCAGGTTGAAAAAGAGCAAAACGTTGTGCAGCGGGGTCAGTTTGGGAGGAGGACGGCTTCATGGCTAGAAGCACAAGTGATACACAGTTCCGTGACACTGGGTAGGTCACTTAATCTCTCTGAAACTCAGTTTCCCCATCAGTACCTGAAAGGGCTAAGAAAGAATGTTTATATATAAAAAGCTTAGCACAATGCCTGTCACAGAGTAAGTGCTCACTGGCGGAGGCAATATTACTATTGGTGTTATTACTATTAATAGTTATTATTACTATAAAACGTCTTTTTTTTTGAGACGGAGTTTCGCTCTTGTTGCCCAGGCTGGAGTGCAATGGTGCAATCACAGCTCACCGAAACCTCCACCTCCTGGGTTCAAGCGATTCTCCTGCCTCAGCCTCCTGAGTGGCTGGGATAACAGGCATGTGCCACCACTCACGGCTAATTTTGTATTTTTAGTGGATTCAGGGTTTCTCCATGTTGGTCAGGCTGGTCTCGAACTCCCGACCTCAGGTGATCCACCCGCCTCAGCCTCCCAAAGTGCTGGGATTACAGGTGTGAGCCACCGCACCCACCCTAAAACATCTTTCTATATTCAATTGTTTGTCTAAATACTGAATGAGGATCAAGGAAGGAAACAGGTCTTTAATTTATTATTATTATTTTAAACTGTCTTCTTCTTGGGAAAAAAGGTCCATTTGGTCGCAAATCAAAACCACAATGAGATATCATCTCATGCTAGTTAGAATGGCAATCATTAAAAAGTCAGGAAACAACAGATGCTGGAGAGGATGTGGAGAAATATGAACACTTTTACATTGTTGGTGGGAGTGTAAATGAGTTCAACCATTGGGGAAGACAGTGTGGTGATTCCTCAGGGATCTAGAACTTGAATTACCATTTGACCCAGCAATCCCATTACTAGGTAAATACCCAAAGGATTATAAATCATTCTACTATAAAGACATGCACACGTTTGTTTATTGCAGCACTATTCACAATAGCAAAGACTTGGAACCAACCCAAATGTCCATCAATGATAGACTGGGTAAAGAAAATGTGGCACATATATACTATGGAATACTACGCAGCCATAAAAAAGGATGAGTTCATGTCCTTTGCAGGGACATGGATGCAGCTGGAAACCATCATTCTGAGCAAACTATCACAAGGACAGAAAACCAAACACTGCATGTTCTCACTCATAGGTGGGAACTGAACAATGAGAACACTTGGACACAGGGCGGGGAACATCACACAGTGGGGCCTGTCAGGGAGTGGGGGGAGGGGGGAGGAGTAGCATTAGGAGATATACCTAATGTAAATGATGAGTTAACAGGTGCAGCACACCAACATGGCACATGTATACATATGTAACAAACCTGCACGTTGTGCACACATAGCCTAGAACTTAGAGTATAATTTTAACAAATGCAAAGAAAAGAAAAAGAGAGAAAAAAGTCCATTTGGCATGTTTCAGACCAAGTGACCAGTCATCAATCAATTTTTCTTCCCTGTGTTTGGATATTTTGAAGTCACATAGACACCAACTAATACCTGTCACCCACTGCCTCATCGGATGGATCGGGTGACACTCAAATCAGTTGTGCAGGTAGATCTGGGTGTGCAGACATTAGCCAACGTTGAGTCACCTCATGTTGCACATGTTGGCTGACTGGCTGCCTTTCCCCCTGCCAGGGAGAAGCGCGTTGGCATTGACCTGGTGCACGACACAGTGGAGCATGAGCTGATAAAGGAGGCTGAGATCATCCGGGGCATTATGGCTCTGCTGACCCGTACCTTGGAAGAGGCTTCCGAGCAGATTCGGTATGACTCTTCGGCCTGCCCTCCACATCTCCACTGGGAATTTTGAGAAGAAGCAGTGTCCACAAAAGCTGGGCTTCATGGCACAGAAGGAAAGGGGTTCAACACTCCCACTCCCACTTTGTGTCCCCAGATCGCCCCAGCACTCAGGGTAAGAGCTGGCCACCTCCCTCATACATGGCAGCCGCCCTCCGGTAAGGGTGGGGCTGGAGCTGGATTTCACCCTGGTTATAGACTGGAGGGCGCTGGAGCCCACTGGCGAGGCTGACCCTTCACACACAGGAGGCTGCAGTGGTGACACTGGAAAGTGTCACAGTAGAAGGGGGATCTCCAAGTCCACGTTTGGTCATGTTGATTTGTCACCGGGCATCAAATGGTGTATGAGTGAGTGTTGGGGTGATGGGAGTCGGGGTGGGGCAGTACCGTCATCCTGCACCAGACCTAGCTGCAGCTTCACTTTCCAGGACCTCCCTGAGGACCTGTGGATGCCACCTGGGCACTCCAGAGGCAGAAACCCAGTTTACTTTCTCCCTTCAGGATGAACCGCTCTGCCAAGTACAATCTTGAGAAGGATTTGAAGGACAAGTTTGTGGCCCTGACCATAGATGATATCTGCTTCTCGCTCAACAACAACTCACCAAACATCAGATATTCTGAGAACGCCGTGAGGATTGAGCCAAAGTGAGTGAGCCTTGCCGTCTTCCTCCCTGCTGGTGATGTCCCAGTGCTTCTCAGACAGGCAAGACCTAGTAACTCGTCCTTGCAGCTGGCTGAGAGCTTGGAGGTGGTGGGCTTGGGGAAAGGCGGTGTTGAATGGTGACCTTGACATTGGGCCCAGAGGCTCCCGATCCTCCAGGTTCGGCCCACTAAGAAAGTCTGAGATAAAACCTTTAAACCTTTAAAGACTAAAACAATTTAGTCCTTTATCTATACATCTTTTTAACAAGTAAAAGAATCTAAAAATGTATAAAGAGCAAGTGAATTTTTCTCCTTTCCTTTTTTTTTTTCTTTTTTCTTATTTTTTTTTTTGAGACGGAGTCTCGCTATGTCACCCAGACTGGAGTGCAGTGGCACAATCTCGGCTCACTGCAAGCTCCGCCTCCCCGGTTCACGCCATTCTCCTGCCTCAGCCTCCCGAGTAGGTGGGACTACAGGTGCCCGCCACCATGCCAGGCTAATTTTTTGTATTTTTTAGTAGAGACGGGGTTTCACCGTGTTAGCCAGGATGGTCTCGATCTTCTGACCTCGTGATCTGCCCGCCTCAGCCTCCCAAAGTGCTGGGATTATAAGTGTGAGCCACTATGCCTGGCCATCCCTTTCCATTTTTACATCCACTGAGATAACTGGTGTTAGCTGCATGTTCATACAAACATATGTACATATGCACTCATACACATATGGTAAACTTGTTTAGTTTATAAAAATGAGATTATACTCTGTACCTTTTCTGTGACATCTAATTTGCATTTTTCAGTTAACATTATATCACAGCCTAACTCACTCTAATTTTTAAAACCTTCTTTTTGAAATAAAACATACATATAGAAAAGTGCACAAGTTCGAAGCATTCTCATTGTGTTAGTTATCTTTTGCTTGTATAATAAATTATCCCAAAACTTTGCAGCTTAAGAGTATAAACATGTATTATCTCATGGTTCCTGTGGGTGGGGAAGCCAGGCCCTGTCCAACTGGGTGCCCCGGGCTCGATGTCTTCTGAGGTTGTAGTCAAGCCAGCTGCTAGGGTTGCAGTCCCTCTGAAGGCTTGACCCAGATGGGGTCCAATTCCAACCTGATTGTGGGTGATGGTGGGTCTTGGTTCCTTGCCTTGTGAATTTCACCATGGGGATATCCCATGACATGGCAACTGGTTTCTCCCATAATGAGTGATCCAAGAGAGAGAGAGAACTGATGACAGAAGCCACAGTCTTCTTATATCCTAATCCCAGAAGCGACAACCTTCTATTTGTGAGAGGCAAGTCAATAAATTCATACCATATTCAAGACGAGGCGATTACACAAAGGCACGAACACCAGGAGCGGGGATCACTAAGGGCCATCTCAGAGGCTGCCTCTAGGCATAAACGGAACAAGCCTCATATCCCTACCAGGTCGAGAAAGAAAACATTATCACCATCCCTATCCTCCTATCCTTTTCCAATCAATCGTCCCTCCCTCCATCCTGAAGGTAATAACTTTCCTGACTTCTAATAGGGTGGTTTTGCCAGGTTTTCATTAAACAGCATTATATGCTAGATGTGTGTGTGTGTGTGTCTGGTTTCTTCCAAGTAACATTATTTTGAAGTTCATCAGTGTCGTTCCAGAAGACAGTTCCTCTTCAAACTAGTAATTTATTCACTTGTTTATTTCAATCTGTATAGATGGATGGTTTCTATTTTATTCAGTGTATTATAATCTGTTACATTAGTATTTATTTTGATGCTCAAATTATCTCTAGCTGAGTGATCTCACCCAAGTTACTTCATTTTTCTGAGCTCAGTTTCCCTCATCTGTAAAATGGGGATTCAAAAAGTTAGCTCACTTGGCCATCATGAGGATTAAATGAGATAATGTCTATAAGGTGCCAGCCCAATGCCAGAGTAGGGAGGTTGCCCAAAGGGACAGCTATTGAGACTGACAGACCACCATTTGCTCTGCCTAGAGATAGGGAAACGTTCTAGGTGCTTCTGATGAGAGGTAGGTGTAGCTCATCCCTCTTCCCCAAACCCCTTCCCCACCCCAAATATGCTGTGAATGAAAGCGTGGGGTCTGTTTCAGCTCCGTGAGTCTGGAAGACTGGTTGGACTTCTCCAGCACCAACGTGGAGAAGGCTGACAAGCAGCGGAACAACTCTCTGACACTGAAAGCCCTGGTGGATCGAATCCTGTCCCAGACAGCCAATGATCTGCGCAAGCAGTGTGATGTGGTGGACACGGCATTCAAGAATGGGCTGAAGGATACCAAGGATGCCAGGGACAAGCTGGCTGTTCATCTGGCCAAGGTGAGGTCCCTTGAGGGAGCATGGAAGAAGAGCAGATTCAGGAGGTTTCACCATGGAAAACAAGAATGCCCCCTGGGCCAGACTGCTAGAATTCTGGGCTTGGGATATTGGGTTAACTCGTGGGTAAAGATCATTCCTATCTCTCCAGCTTAGCGGCAGGCTGTGCATTTTTGGGGACTGGAGTGGGACTTTGCCCCACTCTGGGCCTCCATTTTCACTCACTGCTGCAGAGAACACAAATGCAGAGGACAGAACCCTGAGGCAGGAGACGGGAGGCTTAGGGGCTGGCTGCAGCTTTGTGCCTGGCTGTCTTCCCACTCCAGTTGCCATTCCTCCATATGTGAAATATAGAAATTGACTACGTGCTCTCACGTGTCCTTTAGGGCTCTGAAGTTACAGGAGTCAATGCAGCCAGTTTCTCCAAACCTGGTTGTAGCTTTAGGACTCTAGCCGGTCGTTCCTCCTGGTTATCCAGTGTTGTGCTGGTAAACTGTCTCTCAGAGGGTGTTTTAGTCCACTTTCATACCACTGGAAAGAGCTCCCCAAGACGGGGTAATTTATATAGGAAAGAGGTTTAATTGACTCACAGTTCCGCATGGCTGGGGAGGCCTCAGGAAACTTAGTCATGGCAGAAGGTGAAGAAGAATTGCAAGCACTTTCTTCAGGAGGCAGCAGGAGATGGAAAACTGCCACTTTTAAAACCATCAGATCTCGTGAGAACTCCCTCACTATCATGAGAACAGCATGGGGGATGCTGCCCCCATGATCCAATCACCTTCTACCAGATTCCTCCTTCAACTTGTGGGGATTACAATTCAAGATGAGATTTGGGTGGGGACACAGAGCCAAACCATATCAGAGGGGGTTAGTATTTGTACTGCAAATACAATGTGGGAGCATTTGTACTACAGATGTCAGCAAATTCTACAGATTAGGGTCCTTCCTGTAGAATTTGTCGATATCTGTAGTACAAATACTTCCACACTAGTGGATTTCAAGCTACCCATTTCAGCAGGTCACTGGCAGCCCACCCTATACTTTACTGTTGGTGCAGCTGAAACAGAGAGGGGAAGGGCCCCAAGGCGGCAGCTGGGAGTGGAGCCCAGGCCTTCTCAGCCCCTGAATCCCTGTCCTGTTGCCACATCCTGAACACTCTGTCCCGGAGCTCAGAGCCCAGCTGCGGACAAGATTTATTTCTGTGATGTGCAGGAGAAACCAGAGTATCGTCGAGGGTGAAACTGCAATATTCAGCAAACGGAGAGGTAGACTAGCCTAGTGGAAATCGGTAGATGTCAGAGCCAGACATCTTGGGTTTGAATTGTGGCTTCAACACTTGCGTGGGACCTTAGGGAGACCCTGAAGCCCCCTGTTCTTTTTTTTTTCTTTTTTTTTTTTTTGAGACGGAGTCTGGCTCTGTCGCCCAGGCTGGAGTGCAGTGGCCAGATCTCGGCTCACTGCAAGCTCTGCCTCCCAGGTTTACGCCATTCTCCTGCCTCAGCCTCCTGAGTAGCTGGGACTACAGGCGCCCGCCACCGCACCCGGCTAATTTTTTGTATTTTTAGTAGAGACGGGGTTTCACCGTGTTAGCCAGGATGGTCTTGATCTCCTGACCTCGTGATCCACCCGCCTCAGCCTCCCAAAGTGCTGGGATTACAGGCATGAGCCACCGCGCCCAGCCAGCTCCCTGTTCTTTAGTTTCCTCCTTGATAAAATGGGAAGAAACAATAGTTTTCTCCAGTCAGGGTTAAGTTAGACAACTCATATGAAATATTTAGAACAGTGCCTGGCATGTACACATTTCACACATACACACACAATTTGCATATATGATTAACATATAATATCATACATATAAATAATAAAAATTAGTTGATTGATGATGATGATGATGGTAGCCAAGGAATACTGCAGAGGCTTCCTGGTAGAATAAGAACTTAGTATAGGCCTTGAAAGATGGATCTGAGATAGGAGAGGAGCGAGCAGGGGAGAGCACTGAGAAGAGAGGAAGAGAAGAGGCTAAGGAGCAGAAACAAAGATACACTGGTAATAAAACAATAAAATAAGATGTCATGGCCGGGGCGTGGTGGCTTACACCTGTAATCCCAGCACTTTGGGAGGCCAAGGTGGGTGGATCACCTGAGATGTCAGGAGTTCACGACCAGTCTGGGCAACAGGGTGAAACCCCGTCTCTACTAAAAATACAAAAAATTAGCCGGGCATGTTGGTGGGCGCCTGTAATCCCAGCTACTCGGGAGGCTGAGGCAGGAGAATCACTTGAACCCAGGAGACGGAAGTCGCAGTGAGCTGAGATTGAGCTACTGCACTACTGTGCTCCAGCCTGGGCAACAAGAGTGAAACTCCGTCTCAAAAAATAAAAATACATAAAAATAAAATAAAATAAGATATCACTGTATGGTGATACACGGTTGGAAAACTGTCAAGTTATAAACATGTCACTGTGATTTATAGTGCTCTGGGCAACAGTGCAAAGCCATGAGACCATCACATACCGTGTGTCACCATGACTTAACTCTGCCATGGTAGTTCAGAAGCAATAATAAATAGATGAATAAGCATGGCTGTGTTTCAATAGCTTTATTGATGGGCATTAAAAATTAATTTTATGTAATTTTTCACATGACAATATTCTGCTTTTATTTTTCTCCCCAGCCATTTAAACATTTAAAAACGCTTAAGACAATGAAAACACGAACCACACACTGGGAGAAAATATTTGCAAAACACGTATCTGATAAAGGACTATTATCCAAAATATACAACGAACTCTTAAAATTCAACAATAGGAAAACAGACCAACTAAAAAATGAACGAAAGATCTAAACAGACGCCTCACCAGTACAGATATACAGAGGGCAAGTAAGCATACGAAAAGATGCCCAACATCCTATGTCATTAGGGAACTGCAAATTAAAACACCACCTCTGCGCCTACAGAAAATCCAAAACACTGACATCAGCAATGAATGAGAGTTCCTGTCGCTCCACATCCTCAACAGCATTCATTGCTGATGAGAATGCAAAATGGTACAGTCCCTTTGGAAGAGAACGTGGCAGTTTCTGACAAGGTTAAACATATACTCTTAGGATTCAGCGATCTCCTTCCTTGGTATTTACGCAGATGGGCTGAAAACTTATATTCATACAAAAACCTGCATATGAATGTCTATAGCAACTTTATTCATGATTGCTAAAATTTGCAAGCAGCTAAGATAGGTGAATGGATGGAGGAACCGTGGTACATCCAGACAATGAAATATCATTCAGCACTAAATGGCGTGAGCTATCAAGCCATGAAAAGACAGAGAGGAAGTTTAAATGCATATTGCTAAGTGAAAGAAGCCACTCTGAAATTCATACTGTAGGATATGAATCATGATTCCAACTATATGACATTCTGGAAAAGACAAAACTATGGAGATGAAAAAGATCAGCAGTTGTCAGGGTTTGGGTGAGTGGGTGGAGGAAGGAAGGAAGGATCAATGGGAGCAGCCCGGGGGGTTTAGGGCAGCAAAACATATTCTGTATGATATCGTAAAGGTAGATACATGTAGTTATACATCTGTCAAAACCCGTAGAATCGGCCGGGTGTGGTGGCTCATGCCTGTAATCCCAGCACTTTAGGAGGCTGAGGCGGGTGGATCACCTGAGGCCAGAGGTTCAAGACCAGCCTGGCCAACATGGCAAAACCCTGTCTCTACTAAAAATACAAAAATTAGCCAGGTGTGGTGGTGCATGCCTGTAATCCCAGCTATTTGGGAGGTTGAGGCAGGAGAATCGCTTGAACCCAGGAGGCAGAGGTTGCAGTGAGCTGAGATCGTGCCACTGCTATCTAGCCTGGGTGACAGTGTGAGACTCCGTCTCAAAAAACAAAACAAAACAAAACAAACAAACAAACAAAACCCATAGAATGTACAACACAAAGAGTGAACCCTAATGTAAACTGTGGATATTAGTTAATAATAATATATCAATGTTGGCTCATCAATTGTATTAATAACAAACGTACCACACTAATGGAAGATGCTAATAATAAGGAAAACCTAGGTAGGGGGGAGAAAGCATATGGGAACTCTACTTTCTGCTCAATTTTTCTTTAAATCTAAAATGGCTCTAAAAAAAAAATGAAGACTATTACTTAAAAAAAATTCTTATTTCAGTCTGTACAAAAACAGATTGCAGACTGGATTTAGTTCGTAGGCATTGTTTGCTGATTCTTGATCCCACTCGTAGCAGCAGTAGTTTTATTATAAGTGTATTGTTATCTGTGTATTTTGGATGGTTAAGGTATTTATAAAATTTAAGAGATTTAGACTGTTTCTTAAAAATTTCTTTAAAATATATAATTAAACAATTGTTTTAACCTTATGATTTTAGTTGAAAATTTAAATTTGAAGACAGCATTAGAATGTTGAAGAGAATTTAAAGCATCATCTTTTTTACTAATTTGTTAGATTGGCAAATCTATTTAAGAACTCCAGAGGTCTTATTTGTTAAGATAATTCAAATCTTTTAAAAAGTTATATATCAAATTTATAAATGCTGCTTTAAATAAATATTCAAAGGACTTTAAGTAAGTTTGAAGTGGGAGCAATTATTAGTCAAAATCAGCTTAAAGTAATTGCTAATATCTGCTAAATTTAAAAATAAATAGAACTGGACTTATGAAAAGCTTAAGAAGTGTTTAAAAAGAAGCTTAAGAAAGTCAAGTGCAATTTCTGGACCTCATTGGGATATAATTTGGACAAACCAACTCTACCAAAATATATGAAATAATTGGTGAAATTTCATCACTAAATATTATTATAATATTAAAGAATAAGTCTTTTGTCTCTTTTTTCAGTGTGATAAAGGTATTGTGGTTATGTCAAAAGAAAAAAGAATTCTTATGCTTAGAAATACACACTCAAATATTTAAGTGAAATATTTAAAAGGAGATAATATCTGGGATTAGTTTTAAAATAACGAAGCTGATGGACAGCAGTATAGATGAAGCACGATTGGCCACATAAGCTCATTGCTCAAACTGATGATGGATACACGAGGTTCCTTAGTCTATCTACCCTAGTCTATCTACTTTTGTGTATATTGCAAAAGTAGATGTACAAGCTTTTAAAAAATGCTTAATGAAGAAATACATTTTAAACCAGTTAAATATTAATTTTGTTAAAACCAAGTAACTTAAAAGTAGTCTTTTTCTTTTCTTTTCTGAGATGGAGTCTCACTCTGTCCCCCAGGCTGGAGTGCAGTGGCGCGATCTCGGCTCACTGCAACCTCCACTTCCCGAGTTCAAGCAATTCTCCTGCCTCAGCCTCCTGAGTAGCTGGGATTACAGGTGTGTGCCACCACGCCCAGCTAATTTTTGTATTTTTAGTAGAGATGGGGTTTCACTGTGTTGGCCAGGCTGGTGTCGAACTCCTGACCTCGTGATCCGCCTGCCTCGGCCTCCCAAAGTGCTGGGATTACAGGTGTGAGCCACTGCGCCCGGCCTAAAAGTAGTCTTTTTCTGTGCATAAAGTCACTCCCAAAAATAGCAACCATACTCAGACCGAACTGCTCCTTCTTTCCCCAGGCTTCCAGAGGACAGAGCTGATGCTAGCAGGATAGGAGTGTAAGGAAATAGGCAGCTTTCTGCTCACGATACAAAGGTACCCTGTACCAAGGCGAGCAGGCGGCTTTGAGCAGCAGTGACATCCCCACACCAGCCAGGACTTTGCTGAGGGCATTCTTCTGTGGGTAGATGAGGTGACAATGGCCCGTCCTGTCCCTTGAGTCCATAAGGTTCTAAGTCTGGGTGAGTGACCTTGCCCACCAGCAATCACTGCTTTAGGGAAGAGAGATCAGACTTACTCTGGCATGCTGCTTAAGAAGAAATCCGAGGTTCCCTCTTCCTAACTTACATGATCACAACGCATCTGCTGTCAGCTGTTGAGTTTTGAGGAGCACAGCTTGGCCTCACCTACTCTAATCCTTTTTGTAAGGTTATGGAAGAGATTGCTTCCCAGGAGAAAAATATTGCAGCTCTTGAAAAAGCCATCCTTGACCAAGAAGGGCCAGCCAAGGTGGCTCATACACGCTTGGAGACCAGGACACACCGGCCGAACGTGGAGCTGTGTCGTGATGTCGCACAGTACAGGCTAATGAAGGAGGTTCAAGAGATCACCCACAACGTTGCAAGGTAGGTTAGCAGCCAATGGGCAGAGGGCCTTAGGGTCTCAGTCCCAACCTGGATTTCAAGTAGAGGCTAGGTAGTGACCAGCGGGCTGAATGAAGCCAGTCTGCTCTGTGATGTTTGAGGAATCCCCGCTACAGGGCAGTCTCCACCACCTCCTGCCAACATTGTTGACTTGGAGAAAATGGATCCCAATATTGAATGATTCTACAGAAGCCCAAATCCAGATGTTTAGGTCAAATCTGCAGTTTTAAACATCAGCATTTCAGAAGATGTCAACGTCATGAATCTGGCCTGTGGCCACCAATTTGAAATCTCTCTCTTTTTTTTTTTCAGGGCCTTTTCAGTATGCATTTTATTCTAAAATTAATGAGATCTCTGTCTTCATGAGGAGAGAGGGAGGGGAAGAGCACATGTCAATTTGGCTCCTGCACTGAACACTGGGGAACATTCTTTCCCTTGAAAAAGCAATGCATAGAGAGAAATGATTCTCTTCTGTTCTTCCTTTTCTCCCAGATTAAAGGAAACTTTAGCCCAAGCTCAGTCTGAGCTGAAAGGGCTGCATCGCAGACAGCTTGCCCTGCAGGAGGAGATCCAGGTCAAAGAGAACACCATCTATATCGATGAAGTGCTGTGTATGCAGATGAGGAAGTCCATCTCACTTCGGGACGGGGAAGACCAAGGGGTCTGGGCCGGGGGCCTCCGCCCTGATACTGTCTGCTGATAGTAGGGCTAGTTCCAATTCTCATTAAACCACATCGTAAACAGTAGTTACAGTCGTACCGAGCTCTCATTTCAGGCTGGCGGAGCCTCTAGCCAGCCTGCTGCAAACTCTTGACTGGCATTCCAAGCCTGCTCAGGGGGCTGATTTTGGGACGAGTTTATTTTCCTATGCTGCTGGTGTAGTGGTTGCCTAACAATTAAAATCCATATGTTAGCACAGGCCACTCTTACAATATCCCAGGATTGGGGCCCCAGGACAGGGTTTCAAGACATTTCAGTTCAGATTCAATTCAATAAAGTAGTTGGGCTGGATCACCTATGCACACCATGCCCCTCTTGCTCATGAGATGGGATGCTAACCTTTCTCTTGGCTCTCAAAATTTCTTTTCTCTAGAAAAGAATGTGGTGATGGCTGACTTAGACCCCTCTGGCTGGTCCATAGGAAGCTTATTCAAGTCCTACAAAACCTAGGTGAAGAGCAGCAGCCCCCATCGGGAGTCGTCTTGAGCCTGTAGGCACCTCTCTGGGTCTTTCTCCGGAGTAAAATTCGATCTGGGGGCAGGGAATGCAGAGTGGGTGAGCCAGGTTGCTGTTGTCTGGGGTTATGGGGTCATAGGGTGGGGATATCACAGGCTGGAGGAGAGCTCTAAGGGGCGCCTGAGGACTCGCGTGTCAGTTGTGGGTGGCAGGCGTGGGAGAGGCAGCTGATGGGGGTACACAGCCTGTGTGCCCACCCCAGGAACTGCAGTCTCAGAATTGCCAACTTGGAAAAGAGGAGGCAAACATTCCCAGGCTCCAGGCCCGAGCTTTTCCGGGTACCAGTAGAGTAGGTCCTTTAGCGCCACCACGCGGTAAGATATTTACATATCTTCTTTTCCTGAATGTAAATATCCTCAGAGTGTGAGTTTGGTGGAGATTTCCAGACCATTAATAATCATTGTGAGAGGTTTTTTGTTTTCTTTTAAATACTCAAACAACATAAAGAAAAAGAAAAAAATTCCATTCATGCCATGGGTTCAAGTCAATGGGTAAGACTGGAGGTTGTGGAGTTCGCCATCTGCAGTACAGGACCTCCAACAGTCCCTACTCATAGGCTATGGGGGCGTTGAATGAGATCACTTCCCTGAAGGGCTTCATACTGAGCCTGTATCATGGGGCAGTAAGTGTTTAATGAATGTGAGCCATTGTGAGTAGTCCCACCCTTTACCAGCATAATTTCTGCACAATTGTACTTAATGGCATAAACTCAATTTCATGATTGTTTTTTTCCTTCACTGCTAATTATTGCAAGCCTTTGTTCATGCTGCTAAATTATCTTTATAATTATTTTAATGGTTACGTACCTCTTTACAAGTTTTCAGCAAGACTGTTTTATATACTTACTATTTCTTGTCCAAAAAGAGTTCTACTTACGGGAGGCTGCCTTCCGCTGAGTTGCAGCAGGTCGGAGATCGATGTGGGTTACTGTCAAAGGAAGACCTTGGTTGGGGGAGACTGTGCATTCATTTCTTATTCCGCTAACATTGAAGGAACAGTTTCCAAGCACGAGGCTTACCATCTCAGCACCCTGCCATGTGTGAAGCCGCTGCTACACTCTGCTAACAGTTGGTTCCCTGATGCTTATGGACACCTGATGGTGTGGAGCTCAGGAGACCTAGCTTCTAGTTCCAACACTGCCAGGCAAGTTTCTCTCCTTCCTTAGGGCCGCCTGTAAAGTAAGGAATGGACTATATGGTCCGGAACTCTTCCTAATCCTTGCTGTTCCCCGAATCTGGCTGTCGTAGGGCAAAATGATAACGCAGAGTGTGGGCCTAATACCTGGGAGCTTTGCAATCTAGGTGTTCCTTGGTCCAGAGACTCTTTGCCATCAGAAAGGGATGTTCCCAATCTGGGATGGAGAAATCCCCTTTGAGGCCAAAAGCGCTGGCTTAATTCTGATCTATGCCACTCCAGTGCTGAATATCTCCTCTCAGAGTGCTCAGCAAATACGCAGCCCTTCCCAAGCCCCAATCAAGGAGGGAGGCCCCTCTCTGCTCACTGGGAAGCCTCTGGGTGCTCTTCTGCTCTGGCTTGGAAGAGTCCAAATAGGCCTTCCCAGCTCACTGGGCAGACCTCAGAGTTTCTGCTAACTTAGCAGGGTTATGAGGTCTGTCCCAGAGGATGTGAAGACACTGAGCTAAATCCTTTCTTGTGAATACTGCTCTCAGAGGCAGCCGGCCTCAGTGGTGGATTGAGATCTCAGGCTCTGCAGGGAGATGTGACTCAGATCAGCTGGTGGATGAGTTCCACGGTCTGCCTGTGGTATGATCCCCACCGAGTTACTCAACTTCCCCGAGCTTCAGTTGCCTAATCTGTAAACAAGACTAATAAAGCCTAGATGAGCGAGATAACGTATGGAAGACTCTCAACAGTGTCTGGAATACGCTGATTTTAAGGGAAATGCAATTTTGATTACGGTTAAGACCATTTCTCAACATGTAAACACAAAATGCAGCAACATCTAAGATTTCAAGAAAACAATGTTTTGCTGGTAAACCTGCTCATGCACTTCCTAGGTCTTATTGGGTATCGACGTGTTTCACAAATGAAATCTGGTCTTAGGCTGTGTTTCATGAAGGACACCTGCAATTAGCCCACAGTTGCAAAAGCCTTCGTAGCTACTGATGAAGGCCACCCTGTTCCGTACTGCTCTGACCTGTCCAAGCCAGATATCTTTTTAAGATAAAATACAGCTTTCTTCTTAGATAATACAAAATTTATTTTAAAATGCCATCGCTTAAATTGGGAGTCATTTAAACTTGAATTTTCTTAAGATAGAACCAAAGTCGAACGTGTCTGTCATCCACATAACTAAAAGAAACACAGAGCAAAGTTTCTGTCTCTGTTATGGTTCATTTGGCAGTGATAAGTGGGAATTCTCCCAGTGGCACAGGACTTGGCACGCTGGGAAAATCTCCAGAAGCTTGTTTTTCTCCCAGGGTACCCAATCTAGGCATTTCTCTGTTCTGTGGATTCTGTTGCCTGCCACTCACCCTAACCCAGAGAGCCCATGTCTTGTCATCTTCGCCCTCCACCGCCACTCTAGCATGCTCTGGGGGTGCCAGGGTTGGGAGTGACAAGGTCAGAGCCGCCCTCCCAGGGGAGCAGCATCATATTTGGGTAACAGTAGTGAGTAATGGTATTAGAACCCACCTTTGGTTCCCGTTCAGTCTGGGCTCTGTTTAAGCGTAGTTTCTCATTCATTCATGCCCAGCCCTGATTCCTTCATGAGTCAGTTTTTCTGTGGCTTATGTAGGTGTGACACAACCTCAGGCCATCCCAGATAATTGACTGATGGACAACAATAGCCATGACCTGTCACACTCGGCTGTGATCCACGGTTCATAAAGTGACTTCTCGTATATTTTCTCATCAAATCTTTACAAAAACCTGAAGAGGCTGGTATGATTACTAGCTCCATTTTATACATGGGATGCTGGCCTTTATGTCAGATAGACCAAGGTTCAAATCCTGGCTCACTCTTTCTCTTACTGTGTGACCTTGGGTAAGTTGCTTAGCCTCTCTGTGCCTCTGTTCTGTTATCTCAGAGTTATGAGGCCTACACTGTTCTTGTGATCCACATAGCCCTTTTCTGGTGTAGCACTTTGTCATCCCAGGCTCTGGGATAGAGGAGGCTAGTGAGATTCTTGAGGTTTCCAACAAATGTTCGTACAGCCTGCTGTCAACAAGTTCAGACACCCAAAGCTGCAAAACTAACAAGAAATTAATAGGAACACTGATGCTGGATTCTGAGCTGCCTGTCATAGGAAATAAAGTATCTGATCATGAGTCAAGCTGGTATCTCCTTCGCCCCAGGCAAAAGAGAGACCTATCCTCGCAGCTACCTAGGCCTGCTGGCTAACCCATTGGTCTCTTGTGCAAAGAGTCCTATGTTGGGGGGAGAGAAAGGAAAGGGGGAGTGGATGCAAAACACGAGGAATGGAGGGCTCCACCTCAGATACTAGTGTTGCAAAGGACACTCCCTAGAGTCATTTGCCCACCAGGGCAGGGCTGGTGGCCATACAGTCAACAGTCTCGTATAGCTAATTTCTTTTTACAGGGCATGAGTAGTATTGAGGCAAACCAAGTCTGACTTACAGAAAATAGCCCAAGGAAGGAAAACAGGGAGCTGGAAAGAAGACAGTCTTTCAACTCTGCTTAATGAAGTGAAGAACTGGCTCCCACGGTCTCACTTTAAGTCCATTGACTAGAATTCAAGCTTCCAAAGGTCACTCTGCTACTGGGATCTAGTTTCTGTGGCCACCTGATAAGGATGAGCTAACCTTTAACTGAGACCAGATCTGAAGTAAATTAGGTAAACATGCTTTGTTAATCACTGGCACTTGTGTTTTTCACAACGCGCTAACAGTGTTTAAATCTGGCTTAAAGGCAACCATTTCCACTCTTGCAAAAGAGGCTTCACATTTTCCAGGCTATGATGAGAACTTCGACATAAATGTCAAACACAGTTCCTGCACCCAAACTGATTCTGAGGCCTTGTAAAACCTGCCAGAATAATAGTTCCAGATGCATCCATAAATCAATGAAAACCACATTTAACAGAAAGAGAATAACCTTATTTAGGAGAATCATCATATACAGTCTACCTAAGGCCACTGCTAAAATATTGGGAATGAACTTGGTCCATAAGAAAGGTACTTGGAGGCCTGGTGTGGTGGCTGACGTCTGTAATCCCAGCACTTTGGGAGGCCACGGGGGGGTGGGTAGATCACCCAAGGTCAGGAGTTCGAGACCAGCCTGGTCAACATGGTGAAACTCCGTCTCTACTAAATAAGAAAACACAAAAATTATCCAGGCGTGGTGGCGGGTGCCTGTAATCCCAGCTACTCGGGAGGCTGAGACGGGAGAATCGCTTGAACTCAGGAGGCAGAGGTTGCAGTAAGCCGAGATCACACCACTGCATTCCAGCCTGAATGATAAAGAGCAAAACTCCGTCTCAAAAAAAAAAAAAAAAAAAGAAAGAAAGAAAGAAAGGCACTTGGTCACA